AACAGGATCTGATCATTCACCATTGCTACTTAAATGTGATATTGAATCCCCTCCCATTAAGAAATCTTTCAGATTTCTTAATTTTTGGACAAAGCATGAATCCTTCCTAGATGTGGTGAAAGAGAATTGGAATGCAGATTTTAGTGCTAATCCTTTTGTACTTTTCAATTTTAAATTGAAAAAACTCAAAAAAGCACTATCAGTTTGGAGTAGAGCTACCTATGGTGATGTCTTCCAGAAGATTGCAAGTTTAGAGGAGCTAGTTTTGGTTCATGAAAGACAATTTGAGATCAATCCTACTCAGATGAACAGACAAAGACTGCATAAGGTTCAAGCTGAAATGATCAAGTATCTTGCATTGGAGGAGGAGTTTTGGAGGCAGAAAGCAGGCATGATGTGGTTTAAGGATGGTGACAGAAATTCTAAATTTTTCCATGCTCAAGTTAAAGGAAGAAGGAAGAGATTGAAGCTTACAAGGATCCAAAATAGTAGAGGTAACTGGATAGAAGAGGAGGAGCTAATTGCAGAGGAGGCAATAAACTTTTATAAGGAGCAGTTTTCAGAAAGTTTAATGCCTACTGATTTTAGTATTCTTAATTATGTTCCTACTATGGTTACTTCAGAACAGAATGAGGGGCTGATGGCACTACCTACTGCACAGGAAGTAAAGAAAGCTGTTATGGGACTGAATGGGGAATCTGCAGGTGGCCCTGATGGTTTCACAGGGGCCTTTTATCATAAATGCTGGGATATAATAGAAGATGATGTGGTTAATATGGTGAAATCTTTCTTCTGTGGACAACAACTCCCAAGGAGTGTGACTCACACTAATTTGGTACTGTTACCAAAAAAGAAAGAGGTGCAGACCTTTGCAGATATGAGACCTATTAGTCTCAGCAATTTTGTGAACAAGATTTTTTCCAGAGTAATACATGAGAGACTGGTGGAAATGTTACCTAATTTAATTTCAGAGGAGCAGGCAGGTTTTGTGAAAGGAAGAAGTATAGTTGAGAATGTTCTTCTAACTCAAGAAATCATCACTGATATAAGGCTTAGGACTAAGGCAGGTCCAAATGTTGTTATTAAGCTTGATATGGCAAAGGCATATGATAGGCTATCATGGCTTTTCCTAACAAAAATGCTGAGGCAACTGGGATTTTCTGAAGCATTCATTGGTATGATCTTTGATCTTGTTGGTAATAATTGGTATTCTATACTGATTAATGGTCAACCAAAAGGTTTTTTCAAGTCATCTAGGGGAGTTAAACAAGGGGATCCTTTATCACCTACTTTATTCATCCTAGCTGCAGAAGCTTTATCAAGAGGTCTGAATTCATTACACTCTAACTTATACTTTTGTGGATTTGGATTACCAAAGTGGAGCCCTAAAATAAATCATTTATCCTATGCTGATGATACTATAATTTTCTCTTCATCTGATGATACTTCCTTGAGGCTTGTTATGGAAATTTTGCATGCATATGAGGCAGCTTCTGGACAGTTGGTTAATAAAGCAAAGTCTGCCATATACATGCATCATTTAACAGATTCTACAGTGGTTAGTAAGGTAGGAAAGCAAGAGTTTCCTCTCACTTATTTAGGATGTCCAATCTTTTATGCAAGAAGGAGAATGGATTACTATGAAGGCTTGATCACTAAGGTAATGGATAAACTACAATCATGGAAAGGCAAACTTCTTTCAGTAGGTGGCAGGGCTGTACTAATTTCAAATGTGCTTCAGAGTATGCCTGTTCACCTCTTGTCAGAAGTGAATCCCCCAAACTATGTCATCAATAGGCTGCATAAAATTTTTGCAAGATTCTTTTGGAGCAGTAATGTGGGGGGAAGCTCTAGACATTGGGCTTCATGGTCTAACCTTTATATGCCTTATGAAGAAGGAGGTATAGGCTTCAGATCTCTACATGATGTTTCAAAGGCTTTGTTTTGTAAATTGTGGGGGAATTTTAGGACAAAACCTAGTTTGTGGAGTTCATTTATGAGTCAGAAATATTGTAAGAAATTCAATGCAGTAATTGTACCATGGAGGGAAGGTTCACATGTGTGGAGGAAGATGTTGGAATGCAGGGATTTGATTGAGCATCAAATTTTCTGGAAGCTAAGGATGGGGTCAGCTTTATTTTGGTATGATAATTGGACTGAATTGGGAGCATTATATTTTCAACTTCCCCCAAATTTTGCTATAGATGAAGATATTCAGAATGTTAATGAGTTGACACAAGATAGAAGATGGAATGTGGAGAGAATTCATGAGGTTTTACCAGCAGATCTGGCACAGCATATAGTTCAAAACATTAAGCCCCCCAGGGAAAACAATGAATTGGACAAACCTTTCTGGATGCTTGAAACAAAAGGCAACTTCTCAGTTAAGTCTGCCTGGGACTATTTGAGAAGAAGAAATAACCCAAGCATTGCTTATAAGAAGATTTGGGTAAAAGGTTTGCCTTTTAAGATTTCCTTTTTTATATGGAAGGTGTGGAAAGCAAAACTTCCTTTAGATGATTTTATGAGAAGGATAGGATATTTCATGCCATCTAAATGTTGGTGTTGTGCTGATCCTAAGGAGGAATCACTGGTTCATTTATTCTACACATCCAATGCAGCTAAAATAGTATGGAGTTATTTTCTAAGGAGAGCAGGAATTGTAGTGGAAGGCATATCTTTACAACAGGCCATTACAAAATGCTGGATGGCTCTAGTCATAGACAGAGTGAAGCCAATAATGCAAGCATTGCCAGCTTGTATTGTCTGGGAGCTATGGAAGAGAAGAAATTCACTGAAGTATGGGACTGCTGTGTCAGTAAATAGGGTAATATACCAAATCTCATCTACATTGCAGAATTTGGTACAACTAAGGAAGCCAGGTTTGCAGGTCCCTCACCACTGGTCAAATTTACTACAGATGCTTGAACAGTACACTCCAAAGCTTAAGTATGAGAAGGTACTATGGGAATTGCCAGATGATGGATGGATAAAGGTTAACACAGATGGAGCATGCAGAGGAAACCCTGGGAGAAGCTCTATAGGTTTCTGCCTAAGAGATGAAGTAGGGGATCTAGTATATGCACAAGGGAAGGAGATCAAAGAGGGAACAAATACTGAAGCTGAGGCATCAGCAATCCTGGAGGCTTTGAGAATGTGTAGATCTATGAACTTGAGGCAGATATGGTTGCAGACTGACTCAATGCTCTTGAAAAATATAATAGAAGGCTCATGGAAGCCTCCCTGGTGTATTTTTGATCAGATAGATGAGATTGTGAGATTGAAAGGAGAATTTACACTCAGAATATCTCATACTTTCAGGGAAGGTAATTATTTAGCAGATCATTTAGCAAATCATGCATTGGATGTGGGGGACATGGAATGTCATAGCTTTTGGGATCTGGATCCTCAGGGTAGGAGGTTGGTGAATGAAGATAAGATGCAATGTCCTGTTTTGAGAGTAAAGGTTGCAAGGAAGTAAAAGAAGAAAAAGAAATTGGGGAAGAATCAGAACCAGGAGAT